ATAGGTTTACTTCTGACAACTTTTATTTCGATCCAGATCTAGTCATTGAGTTGTGACAGAATTGGGTTACTGAACTGGGTTGCACATAAGGATTGTTCACAGTAAATTAGTGTTCCACCCCCACGACCTCTCTGTCTGTCCCCTCGGAAAAGGATTGTCACTATCAATCCATAAGCTATTATCCGTAATATCACTAAAGCATCAGGCTTCAGTGATCATGATCATCGACGGATTGCATATAGAGGATAACGTACATAATGCTAAGTGTTTGTTAATAGCTGACCTAGCATTTGTGAGGATGATGGATAGACTTTGACTACGTGGTTTTAGTTTATGGGCGATATCGTAATGGAATACTATATGATTATCAACTGAATACATGCAGTCGTCATCGAACTCATTACTTATTGCCTTTTGATCACTAGAGACGTTTTCATCAACTTGATACTTAGGGATGGGTTGTGGAAAGTCACTCGTGCGTAGTTGGTATTTTCGATATTGCTTGCTATGAGAGATAGTAGTATCATAATCTGGAGTATTACTGTTGGTATTAGGTATGTATAAGGTGTTTGCTATCTGCCGGAGAAGAAGCAGTTTCCCTGTTGTAAGGTGTTCGCCATACCATCAAGGAATTAATCTGATATCATGCGTGCTACGTGCATGATCCTTGGCGTTTCTGCCAGTTGTCGCTGGAGAAAATTCCGGTCATATGAGTTAGCTAGAGCTATGTTATCTGCACATTTATAACCAAAATGTTTGCGCGGCGTGTTGTTGTGTGCATATGATTTAGACTCCTGTGTCTAGTAAAAGTACTTCCTAGGCCATGATGAGCATTGTGCTGCAATTTGCATGTGCCCCCTACTGAATGCATGAGAAGTATGACAGGGCGCTGTACGTGTTTTTGACCTAATGTCTGTATTCTCAGACTGGTGTTTCCTGTACATCATAGTTGAGGGTGCATTTGTGAGGGGTTGAGCAATCTCGTGTTTTCGAAGTGGTTGGGGAGATATGTGACGATTGCTTTTTGTTGTCATAGGACTGGCAGTGGTAGTCGGAAATGAGTAAGCTCCAATGGTATGTGAATTATGTGGAAACAAACTCTACCTTTTTGGTTTCAGTGGTATTTATTCTAGAAATTTATTCCTCTTTTCTAGACCGTAAATAGCGGTGTCTATAAGCAGACATGAAACCCCAGATTTTCGAGTATAGGTGGAAATCTTGTGACCTGTGTTTTTAAGGAAGCATGTGTTAATTCTCCTCTTGTATCTGTCTACCATGAAAATGAGCTGTGGTTCATTGGGAAATTTCCTCAAAGTGTCACTATGTCAATGTATCACTGTTATATAGTTTGTTTCTTTCATATGTACTTCCCTGTGTTATTCTATAACTCATCTAGCGATGGCTGAATGAACAAATTTTATTTGTCCATTGGACCCCAAGATTAAGAAGAAAACCGAATTGTATGTTTACACAAACATCTCCCATACCACTCGCCTGTAAGTCAATGAAAACTACAATAGGCGAGTAACGGAACGTAGAAGTTAACAGAAGGTCAGTAACCTCAGCCTTGCTGCTAAGAAGGAAGAAAGAGGGGCTCGGCTTGGTTCACACTATCTGCAAAATAGGACAATGGACATTAAGCAGTGGAGCATCAGGTTGAACGTTTGAGAAGGATTCCTGGAAGGATTAATGTAAGAGTATTGGTTACGTGGATCCAGACTAAGATAAGCTACAAAAGTACGGCAAAAAGTCTTTAGATAAACCGCATTCGAAGGATAAAGGGGATGAATTTTGCATGCTCTTGCTCAGTTTCGGGTTTCGTTGTGTTATACTTTCTAAAAGTCTACAGAATAACTTCAACTCAGTTTATTCTAATCGAAGTTAATTTCCTTCTAGTGCTGAGTCTGTTTACTGATAGGAAGTATATTTCCATAACACTATAGTTATTATATATCCTTTTTGTTAAACGCGTTTGCTTTTATCTCTAGTTTATATAATAATAATGTAATATTTGAATCGTGTAGTATGCCTTTCAAGAGAAACAGCTGTGGAAGAATTAAGTGTCAATTCCCAATTGAAGAAGGTATGCAGTGTGATAGCTGCGAGTACTGGTTTCACAGCATCTGTACAAACCTAACCTCTGCAGCATACAAGCGCTGCTGCAAACCTGTAGCGAACTGGCTGTGGTGTGACTGTTGCGATGCGACTGAGTTCCATATTGAAGAAGTCGTTGCCATGCTCAGCGGGGCATTAGAGATTCTGGACTGCAAATGTTCTCCGCCACAGAAGAAGAGCGATTACCGCTTAGACGCCAGTAACGTGGCTAGCGTCATCTATATGATGATACACCCTCTCGACGCGTCCCCACGGGTGAGTGCCCTTCAGCACAGTAGAGCACCCGCCATATCTCGGACACCTACGCTGTACCTACGATACCCGATAAGTTCTTCTGCGTCAGAAATGAGTAGGTATTGAAAACTCTAACATATAGTCGTCTTCTGCTGGCACGAGAAAAAGACATAACAGGGGTCGAAAACCCTGCATTAAAGTAGCCCAAAAACTTGTGGATTAAGCCTTATGCATGCTGACGGATAGTAGGCAGACACAACCAACCACATATAGCGAAGAGGCAGCCAGTGAATAGCACAGCGTAGTGTCTCACAGAGAGCGAGATAGAGATGCATTAAAGGCTACACCGTCCTTGAAGGACGGAAAGACACTTGCACTGCAGAGCAAGGAAGCTACCGCAAACAAACCTGACCTCTCCAACTGGTCGCTCATGTTCCAAAAATGGAAGGATCGGTGGTTCCGGATACGAATGTCAGGTGTGAACATGACTTCGACCTAGTCTGTCTTAAATAAGGTACTGCCAACAGAAGTATCAGGCGTAACTATACACAACGTGCACAGAATCTAACAAAAGGCTGACTACCGTAAATCAGCCAGCACGCATTTTCAGAGTCGTGGTGAACTCGAAAGCGCAGAGAGGTGCTATATTAAACAACTCCTAAAGTCTTAAAAGACAAGGCATTTACGTCTGTGGTGACTAATACCTATCAGACAGCGTCAAAAGACAGTTAACGTCTGCAGAATTAAGCGAACGGCACCGAAATGGCGAGAAAAAATTAAGATTAAGGGTTTTCAAGTTGTTGAAGTTTGATGATCCGGAGACCTCTGTGGGTAGGCCGCAGCAGTACCAAACTGAGTAGTAGTTTAGTATACAAATACCCTCATCCTGTTGAAAAAATGGACAGAGCTTGGTAACATGACAGACTCCGGAAACCCAAATATAATTATCATTTCAGAAACGTGGCCCACATCCGATGTCACTCATATAGAAGTTAACCTGGCAGACTTCATAGTGCGTAGGGTGGCCCGACTGGGCTGCAAAGGATGAGGCGTAGCCAACTACCTTAAGAAATGCTTAACTGTGCGTAACACTGAAGCTCTCGCACACGAAAGTGAGATGTGAGAACATCCACGCTGCAGACCTAAATGCATAGGCCAAGATATTGACCTCATTGCTCCATGTTGCGGTCCTGACTGTAATTCAGACGACTTCTTAGTAGGGAAGACAGGCTCCTGGACATCTAACTGTCTAAGTCTCGTGTTCGGCGACCTCAACACCACAACAGCTGTCTGGACAAGCCTTACAACTCCATCTTCAGACAACCCCTATGAATATGAACCTTTGGGATCTAGCATTTCGCTAGCCCTAGCCCAAATGTCATGAAGCCCACGCGCTATGACTGACAGCACTTTTCTTCAAACATGGACCTTGTGTTCTCCCATGGTAAGGATGTGGACTTCACGCATCTTCCTTTAAAAAGAAGCTATCACGCTGTGCTCACTTTCAAGTTCACAGAAGCAGTATAATAGGCCGAGACCCCAGGTCGACCAAACGTTTGGAAAGCTTATATAAATGCGATCGTCTCAGCAGCCAACTCAATGAAATGGTACATCAACCCAGAGTCCCAAGTAGAGGCTGCATGGAACCAATTTAAGCAACCTTATGCCCAAGTAACTGAACTTTTCATCTCTTGGTATGTCCCAAAGGGTCGGAAACATCGCCCCCCTGGGTTACACCAAGAGACTCGTAAGTTACTCGCACGCAAACACAAATGGTGGAACCTGTTTGCCACACTTGAGACTCCTGAGACCAGAAAATAACAGGACACTGCTAGAAACAAAGCTATTGCAGAAATCCGCCAATCAAGGATGAAGTTCGAAGCACATCTGGCTCAGAATGCAAAGGCACAACATAAGAAACTCTCTCGTACATGAACATCAGGAATAAGACATCCAGGGGGGGGCCCTAAGCCTGACTGTGGACAGCAACACAATCCATGAGGATCATGGAAAGGCAGAAGCAATGACAGAGTAATTCTCCAAGGTCTATACACAGGGATCGTCGCTTCCTATAGGATCAGCTCTGGCCGAATCAGAAGAACACAGGATAGGTTGTGTTGATATCGACCAAGGCTTACATATTCTAAAATGGATTCGAAGAAAGGAAACACGTGAGATTCCCGTTGTGACTAGTTTATCATAAGAGGAAAGACTAGACAGTTTATATCTCTTCTCCCTGTCAAACCGCAGGCAGAGTGATCGCATTACAATGTTTAAAATTTTAAATAATGATTATGGACCTGATCCACTCTCTGTTTTCCTTCCCACCAGGTCTGAACACCCTAGATGACATAGCAGGAGAGTTCAAAAGCCCATGAGGAACTATACTGTTGTGAAGTATTATTTCGCCGAGTCATAAACTCCTGGAACCCACTCCCAGAAGAAATAGTGTTAGCAGCTTCAATTGACTTATTGGAGAAAGGTTTAGACAAGCAAAAAAACTGACTTGAAAAAGAGCAACATAGGCTTCAAGGTTTCTATTCCCAATCAACAAATCTGAATCTGTTTTCCCGTGTGACCTTGAAACTGACGTTACGTATTGCACCTTATTCCCTCCCACTTCAATCTCTAGGTCAGTTTTTGTGTTCTTGATGAGAGTTCATCAAATAATAACTGGTTCTTGCAATGGTGACTACTCACACATTTCTCAAGCAAAAGTACGGGGTTCTAATTACATTGTAAGTTCCCCTGGTTGATTTTTTATCCCTTATCATAAGGTGTATGCTAGTGGATGTGATATAGTCATTCTGAATGAATCTTTTTGCCGTAGTCAGGTAATTTCAGGGGGTGAATTGGGAAGTTCTGTAGTCACAGCTGTCAGTTTCAATCATTGGGATGGAAAGGTTTGATGCATATTATATGTTCTTATTCACTAGATTGCTGTCGCTAATGCTAAAGGAATATATGTCTACGTCCCACAGGTACGTCTGTCGAGTGTTTTCTGTATTTTTATAATACGTCTGTAAATTTCATTTGGAATCGTTACTTCGAGAGTAAATTGCGTTTCAGTACTTCACGCAAAACAATCGCTACACTTGTGGTCGTCTTGTTAGCCAGCATCTTTATATGACAATGGGAAGGACTCAGTTTTGGATTTAGCCTAGACAATAAAGTTATGATACCTGATCTTAGGTCATCATCTGATAGTACAATGAACTTTAGTTATTGTGGATATAATGTATTATAGCATTGACTTCCGGCGCGTCGCAGAACGTTGGGGCAGACTTAGGGGCCTTGTCACACGTTCTGCGATGCACCCGAAGATTCCGCAATGCACAAGAAAAAAATGCTAGCTGGAAATCATGCACATATAAACTGTCGGTTGAGTGCACAGTTGGAATGTCAAGTGACTTTGTCTGTTTCAGGTTCAAACAAGTTGTGAACGTCTTCTTTTGACGTGAGCGTATCATGTTGATCTTCACCTCTGTCCATATTTCTAAGTCATCTACGCATAAAACCACTGGGAAATTGGTGAGCACTGATAACTAATTAATATACAAAACAAATAAGACGGGTCCGAGTACAGTACCTTGTAGCGCTCCACTACTTACTGTTTTCCAGGAGGAGAGTTTTGAGTTGATCCTGCCCCTCTGCCTCCTATCTATGAGGAATTCCATAATCCACTATTTTATAATTTTGGTGGATTTGTTGTCAACTTGACCAGTTTGTCATGTAATGTTTCTGTTTCATGTTATTTAGCACATTTATTTGTACGCTGTGTCACTGTCTTTCTTCCCAGGCAACAACAGAAGGTCTGCTAACCAATTCATCGAAATTACTTTGGAGTTTTTCTAGCCGCATACCATTACCTTCTAAATCTGAGGTGGTTTGTCTTTGTTGGTCGCATAGACCATGTTTTGAATTTCCAAATTTTGGCCTACTGGCTGGTTTTGAAGATGGACAACTATGCATGTGGAGATCTAATACAGTCAGCAATGTTGTTCATCCCACTCCTCGTTTTCACATTGGAACTGACCTGATAGATTTACAGTGTGAAACAGACTCAGGTGGCTTGGTAAATTCTACACCGGATACACAATCAGAATGGAGAGTTGTATGGCGTCATCAAATGAAAGGTATTGTTTTCGTTTTGTTTTTATTGACTAAATAAATGGTCATATAGCTTCAGTATCATGAGGATGAGGTTACATACTAACCACTATTTCATTCCTTTGTGTCCCGACGGGAAGCTTGAGCTTTGAAGTTCTATTATTATTGTTATTATAATTAGCTGATCACGGACTGATATCAGTTAGAGAACCATTGAAAACCAGGGAGTACTGGACAGCTGCTGTTTCATCCGATGATTCCTAAACTAGAATGAAACAGCAGCTGTCCAGGACTCCCTGATTTTCAATGGTTTTCTAACTGATATCACTCCGTGATCAACTCGTAAAAACATAACAAACCCTTACAAACCAAACTATAGAATATTATTATTATAGCTTGATTCCACATCGTATTCTCGGTACAAGTATGGGATTTTCAGCATGTGATATCTGTAGCCTAAATTTTGCAGGCCAACTAATTGATATCAAGTATGCGTCGGCAGGGGATCGAACCCCGAACTATGTGCATAGTCGGCGAGAGTCCTAACCACTGTGCCATTGACGCACTTAGCAGTGGTGTTTATTTAATGAGGGGCAGGGCTGTTAGCATCTCGCCCAATCTCTCCTCTTTGTCGGGCTTACAACCCACTAGGAAGGGGGTGGATAAGAATGCGCACCGGCTGGTAGTCGAACTCCGGACCACGTGAGTGCTTGGCGAGTATTATACCGCTAAACCACTGACGTACCGACGTGGTTGTGTGTGTGTGTTTGTGTGTAAACTTTCTTTAGTAATGAATTTGAATATAATTCATAAACAGGGAAAGTACTTTTGTCGTTTTCTACCTACCACCAAGTAAGATGAATATAAAAACGATTTTGACTTTTTACAATTGATAGATGTAGGATTCTGGCACGATTTCCGTCTGCATCTCACTGATGTACATTCACAGACTGACTACGTTTAAGCGTAGAACTTTGTAGAGAGTTGCAGTAGTTCTAGTTGTCACGCTTTATGTAGCCCACAGAGGTAGAGAAAAGAGGAAAGAAAAGAGATTTACAGACACTTTAATGAGAAGAAACGTACAGGTGAGGAAAGCGAGGGTAACAGGGAAAAATATGGGAGAGATTAAAATGAGCGGATGCATCTGCGCCAGCCATTACTTCTTAGCATCTTGTAGACTTCTTAGTTGGTATCTTAGGAATGCTGAAAACTAGTGGCTGGAGACTATTATAGTGATATGGTTCATAATTGTTCTCATTGGTGCAGATGCATTCACAGTCTCACAGATTCATTAAACTCTCATATTTTTCCATGTTACTATGTCAAGCGATCGACAACGGAAATTTCAACGAAGCCCTTCAAGTGAAGACAGGATTTAAATACGGCTGCCTAGTATATTATTATTATTGTTCCCTTGGGTTCCTAGTGGAACATAGGCCTTCAACTGCACGTCTTCACTTGTTTCTGTCTTCTGCTATACTTTTCACCTGCATCCATGTTAGTCCATACTCTTTCAACTCCTCTTCACATGATCTCCTCCATGTCACCCTTGGACGTCCCACTCGTCGCTTCCCTTTTGGGTTCCACTCAAGCAATGGCCTGATGCGCGATGTCACCCAGTGGCCTCCTCAACGAGTGTCCAATCCATCTCCACTTCCTCCTGCATATTTGTTGGGCGATTGGTTCTTGTTTTGTTTGTTCCCATAGTTCCTTGTATCACAGGTGATATTTCTAATTTTGGTCGACTAGATCATGCGCCGCACTGTGGAGGGTGAAAAAGCAGGAATACGGTGGAGCGGTAGGAAAACTCTAGAATATCTGGATTTCGCGGATGATTTATGTCTAATATCACACAGACTCGGAGAATTACAGCTGAAAACTAAAAAGTTGGAGGGAAAAGCAGCAAAGACAGGGCTTTATGTAAACATAGAGAAGACGGATGTGATGAAGATAACCGACCAACAACAGTGAAAGGCACCAATCAGTGTGAAGGAGGTTACTTCCTCCACTTATCTAGTCAGCATCGTTTCAACTACAGGTGGTGTTACAAATGAGGATGTCAAAGCCGAGATCGGAAAGACAAAGCAGACCTTCACCACTGAAATCAGTCTTGAAGTATACTGCACTCAGTACAAAGAACAAAATTCAGATTTTCAACACCAACCTTAACTCACTTCTTCTACATGGATGAGAAATTTGATACACAGTGGCACAGTGGTTAGGACTGTCGCCGACCATGCACATGGTCCGGGGTTCGATCCCCTGCCGACACACACCTGATGTATATGGTCGGCCTGCAAAATTTGGGCTACCGATATCACATGCTGAAAATTTCATACTTGTACCTAAAATACGGTGTGGAATCAAGCTGTAATAAAAAAATCATTTCCAACAGACTGCTGCAGACTTTCATTAACTCCTGCCTTCTTCGCTGGTTCCATACTGAGGATCAGATGGCCGGTGATGACAGTATTCCTGACAAGAAACTCTGAGGACGAACTTATCAAGAACCTATTACGCAACAAGAGAATTTCCCGAAGAAAATGGAGATGGATCGGACACGGACGGAGGAGACCGTTGATTGGCACCACACGCCAGACCATCGCTCAAGTGGGACCAGGATGGGGAACGATGAGTTGAACATGGGTCGCATGATGGTATAGAGGAGATGAAGGCTTATGAGTAATCCTGGGGCAAGCTGCAGAGGACTCCGGAGAACAGGTCAAAGTGGTGATGTTCTGTTGAAACCCTATGTTCTTCTGGGAACTCAAGGGAACAATAATAGTAATAATATATAATATTCTTTTCCACGTACATTTCTTCTCATTGTAGTCCTCCTGAATTTCTTTTTTATCCCTTTTCTCCAGCTTTACTGTAGTTTTCAAGAAAGAAAATTTTGTCCTACGGTTCACCTACATAATTAAACTGTATTTTACTTTCTCTTATTATTCAGGTACCCCGCTACAAATTGATTTCAGTACTGATGGTTTATATTTTGCTAGTATAATTAAATGCGATGAACCGAATAATAATCATGGAATTAAATTCAATAATATCATGCATGTATGGTTTCATGATCCTTGTTTTGCAATGAATCCTTTGAAAAGTCATAATGAAGGAGAGTTTCAAATGACAGAAAATTGGGAACCGATTCACCTACCGCATCCTTGTGATGTTTACTCGTTTAGTTGGCGTCGTACAAGTCGATATCTTCCGAGGTGAGTCGTTTTTCTATAAGCGTGTCAGTTCTATTTTGGGATATATGTAAAGCGCGGTAGTAATTCAAGTGCTGAGTTTTCCCCGAATTCGATCACTAACTAACTTCATTTAAAGAATCACTGGACATCTGTACTCATCTGGGACTCTTCAGCGTTATGCTACCATGACCGCATTTAGCAGGGATCGGACGCAGAACCTTCAGGTTACAATGTAAGCTCACTGACGATTCAGCCATTTTGGGTTTTCTTTGGTGAAAGGATAATTGAGCACATCTCTAAAAGAGTAGGTTAATACTCGATGTAACTATCATCCAGCATGTTTAGTTGATGATTACTCCCCATCTCATCGTTTCACGGCAGAATATTCAGAAATCCACTTTGGTATATGTGTAAAACTTGGGCACTGTAGTAGTAAGTAATTTAGATCTAAATCATCAGTAGTAATTCCATACAAAGAAGGAACCTCGGAAACCTTACGGAGAATTCTTAACAAGGCAGGAATAAAAGTGGCTGGCATTCAAACCAACCACAAACTCAATTAGAAACAAGCTTCGTCGGTTAAAGGATCAATCCTGTGGAGCCTTTAAAACGAAACAATTTAGTTTATCTAATACCCTGCTGGAATGATTGTCAGGTCAAATACATAGGTCAAACAAGTAGAACAGGGGCAGTCAGACTAGTTGAACATAGAAACCTAGCAAAATCTACATTGATGACTCGAATGAGATAAGACTGGAATGAGATACCCGGATAAATTAGTCAGGAAATATGTGAGGAAACGTAAAAATAAAATAAATAACGACAATTGTCGTAGTGATAGTGATAATAATAATAATATTAATGACGACATGCATGTCAAATATGCGCAAGACAACACCAACAACAAAGAATCTAAATCATCACTAGCAATTCCATACAAGGAAGGAACCTCGGAAGCCTTACGCAGAATTCTTAACAAGGCAGGAATAAAAGTGGCTGGCATTCAAACCAACCACAAACTCAATTAGAAACAAGCTTCGTCGGTTAAAGGATCAATCCTATGGAGCCTTTAAAACGAAACAATTTAGTTTATCTAATACCCTGCTGGAATGATTGTCAGGTCAAATACATAGGTCAAACAAGTAGAACAGGGGCAGTCAGACTAGTTGAACATAGAAACCTAGCAAAATCTACATTGATGACTCGAATGAGATAAGACTGGAATGAGATACCCGGATAAATTAGTCAGGAAATATGTGAGGAAACGTAAAAATAAAATAAATAACGACAATTGTCGTAGTGATAGTGATAATAATAATAATATTAATGACGACATGCATGTCAAATATGCGCAAGACAACACCAACAACAAAGAATCTAAATCATCACTAGCAATTCCATACAAGGAAGGAACCTCGGAAGCCTTACGCAGAATTCTTAACAAGGCAGGAATAAAAGTGGCTGGCATTCAAACCAACCACAAACTCAATTAGAAACAAGCTTCGTCGGTTAAAGGATCAATCCTATGGAGCCTTTAGAACAAAACAATTTAGTTTATCTAATACCCTGCTGGAATGATTGTCAGGTCAAATACATAGGTCAAACAAGTAGAACAGGGGCAGTCAGACTAGCTGAAATCTAGATTGATTGATCCAAATGAGATAAGAAATCTAGAGAATAGTTCAGCTATAGCACTCACTGCATGCAAATACACACCACCATACAATAGGATGCGATAAGATGACAGTTTTAAAATATATTGTAACAGCATAGTGGAGGGAGAGATTGATTACAGAAGCTTTGTTTATTGAATCAACTGCAAATAGGTGTGATAGGAATGATTCAACACCTGTCCACCCAGATATCTGGAAAATTCTACTACCCCAAAGACGACAAATAGGAGAGAACAAAGAAAACTATAAAATTCAAGTTTCGAAGTTGTGTGATTATAATTGATGATATGATTATGAACAATAAATTTTGTTCGAAACGTCATCCAGTAAATAATACTGTTTCACTCACTGTGTGATACATCTAATAAACAAACTAATATGGAATCCACTTTGGTACCAATCCCTATAAAATTCAAGCATGTAATTTGAGCGGGGATGAGGTTTCGAGCTAATTAATTTGGTTTTGAGGTACCCTTCTTGGTTATCCCATATCTTGTTGTTAATTTCTAAGAAAATGTTCCATCTGACCTACTCTACAATAAGAAGTTAAGACAATCAGGAATCAGTCAACGTCTCCTTTTACAGTTGACTAGCTGTCGCATCTTACTTATTGTTCTTTACTGCTTCCCCTTAGTCTTTCCTATTTCACTGAAAAAGGACTATGTCATATTGTGAAGGAAATTAAAGGTTGTCAGTAGGGCAGGCAAGTGGTGTGCCATGAAGTCAGCCAGCTCGTTACTATTGTAGTCAACAGACACTTGAACTCATGTGAGAAATTATCTAAATCCGTATTGTCTGACTCTCACAGCGCTCTCAGTATTCACCTAACTCTCCCCTTCTTTGCATCTTATCAGGTAGGACTAAAAGTTATTATAAAACATTATATTCGTGCTTGCACACGGTGAAGTACAAAAACTCAACGACACCCTATTTGGCCTGACAGTGTTCAATATTATAGAGATTGAGTTAAGCATGAAACCTACGACTTACTATGTTTTCGGTAAAATAAACGACTCTTCTTCTCTCCTATTTGTAATCGGTGGTGACACTATTTCAAATATCTTGTAATTTTAGCTGTTAACATTATTATTGAAAAAATATTCATTCACACATCTATAAAACACAAAATAATCGAGCAAAGAATATTCTTTTCGATAATTTCCTCCTCTTCTGGCTCTACAATTATACATGCATGTTTATATACATAAAATATTCTAGATTGGTAGTCAATAACATTATTAGCGTTTTTTAAATAATATCTATTTGTAAAGTATGATCACGATGGAATTACAGTTCATTAAAGATGCTTAAATTATCATAATAATAAAGATATAACAGCAAATAGAATATCAACTAAAATTAGGAAAATTCCACAAAATTCAGGATCATTCGAACCTAGATGGCCAAGGTAATGATAATGTCTGAACTAACTTCTTTTGGGTGCATAAATTAGGCTTCTTAATATGGATCCCCATAGCCTCAGCAATATTTAGAAGTCGAACTCTTAAGGCCAAATTGAGATTCTTAGGTATGCAGTAAATGACCCTGAAAGCATGATTAACGTCAATCTTGTGTTCTGTCTGCACAAGATGAGATAGAATAGCGCTGCGAATAGATTTTGTTTGACCTTTGCTTAACCAGGCAGGGTGATGTTCGGAAATTCGACGCGAAACACACCTAATTGCACGGCCTGTGTAACTGGTTCCACAGGAGCAGTTAAATTGGTAGATAACCATGAAAGAGGCGAAATTAGGCAGTTTGTCTTTTATTCCCGAATGCAAAATAGGGGTGTGGTTTTGAAGACACACCGCAATTCAGCATCAGGGAATGCTCTTTTTACCGCATTTCTAAGGCGCTGTGTTAGTATCTCACTGGAGTTGTCTCCTAGGAACTGCATCTGTAAGAACAGGGCCTTTTTTGGAACTGTTGGTAACTTGGGCTGTTTTGGTTTTAGATTCATATTCTTATCAATAAACTTTTCAGGATAACCATTCTCACTCAGCAACCGTTTAATATTGTTAAGTTCCTCGTCAAGACATTCATCCGAGCAAATCTGTCTTGCTCTGTGGACCAAGCACTTTATTAGATTGCGTTTGTTAACATTATTATTGTTAAAATCATCATTTTACACTTTTTGTGCATTTTTGACTTTATTGTTACTGCTAACACCAAAAACGTTGCTATTATCAATTCTGGTTTGTTCATACCGTCGTCGATTAAATTAAATGCAATGTATCACACTGCATCATAAGTACTGTTTTGAAATAAAACAAATTATTACTCTTACGTCTATCGATTTAAGCCTAAATTACTTCAGAGAATGAAAATGAATAATTATTGTCCCTTTTCAAAGTTTCTGCATTTAATGAAAGAAGAACACAGGATGATTGATTGAGGTTAAATTAAAACCTGCACGTTTTCTTGTGTGCATAAAGGTCAAACATTAATTAATCATCAGTCAAGACCATCATTTCATGAAGTTGGAAATGATGAGATTGTTAAAGATTCAGGTGAATCTTAAAGTTACAATCTGAACTAGAGAGAGCTAATTGATATGGTGAACAATGTCGAATTTGGAAATAAACCAATCAGAATTGGCCGACATATGTAATCGATGTCCAGTTTGGAAATAAACCAATCAGAGTTTGAACTCCATTATGGATAAGATTTTATTTTGATAAATCACACAGTTACCTGGGGTTCTAGTGAGGAGTCGTGACCAGTAGGGTGCAGCAGGTCGGGTGTGAGGACAAATACTCGCCGAAGACATTGGCTAGGGGTCGCGCTATGTCGTGAATTGGCAGAAGTTAGAATTCATGGGCCATTGGATCGGGTCCCAGTGGCTTAATGGTCTACGAGCTCGCTAGCCTTGTAACCAGAAGGTCCTGGGTTCGAATCCCGGTGGGTGCGTACTGTGAAGAGTCCCAAACTAGGACAAAACAGCTGTCCAGTACTCCAAGGTTTTCCAATGGTTCTCTTACTAATGTCAGCTCATGATGAAAATCCTGTAACCAACCAAATCCCTACAAACCAACACTTGAAGATCATTATTTTACTTGATTATCATGTCACGAATTGGCAGAAGTTGGGATTCATGGGCGATTAGCCATTGGATCATTTTCCAGTGACTGATTGAATGGTCTACGAGCTTGACTTGTAACCGAAAGGTCCTGCGTTTGAGCCCCGGTGAGTGGGTACTGGTGGAGGGGAGTCCCGAACTAGGATGAAGTTTCTGTCCAGTACTTCCAGGTTCTCTAACTGATGTCAACGCGTGCTCAAACTTATGACTTATGCTTTCTATGTGTGATGTTCCTGTTTTTTAGCGGTTGGATCCCGAATGTATTACTCACCGCTGGTGAAGATAACCTATGTCGTGTATGGGTGGAAGTTACTCATCCTCCGCCGAGTTATTCTTCATTATCAAATACTCCACAGTTGTTTGGATCGACTCAGATGAGAAATGACTCAGATATTCCAGTAAGTTATGCATATTTCTTTTATGTATTTCAAAACTTTTACTTTATTTTTTCAATGTCGAGTGGAAGTGAATTGTTAAAAAGAATCTTGTAGAGATGATTGCACATCACGGTTATTTCTATTCTATTATTTCTTTCGGTTCCGGGGTGGAGCACGAGGCTTCAACAACACATTTCCATTCCATCCTATTCTTTGAATTTCTTCCTAGGTCGCTCAACGATTGGTCATATGCTTCCATCTCTTCCTGACACGATCTCCTATCTGTGACCCTCGGACTGACGCCTAATTGGTCGTTTCCAAGTCGGGTTTCACCTGAGGTCGTGGCGCGTAACTCCACCTAACGGTCGATACAATCGACCTGTAGGTGAGGCACACAGCTTTCCTTAACAACAGCACACTGGTAGACGACAGTACCATTTGGCAAGACTGTGAGTATTACTTTCAGCATTGTTTGTTATAACCCAGTACGGTTATTTGTCATTGAAATGATGGGGCATTACAAGTTTCATGTCATATTACTTCAATGCTTGTTCTCATTCCTATCAAGTTTAGAAAGAGAAGGATTTGAAGCCAACATTACCAATTGTCGCCATCCATTGGTTCTTAGAATCCCGACGATCCCAAAGAGATTGTCAGCGTAAACCTCCCTACGTGCCTAGCTCAAACTAACTGTCTTTAATGGTTTTAATGGACTGATTTCATGGTTTGGTTTCACTACTGCTAGCTCTTTTTTAACCTGATCCTATGTCAATTAACACTAACCGTCCAGGAAGACGATGGCTAGACATGTGTAACATATGTCCTAACCATCTCAGTCGATGTAACTTCACAACTTCATCCATCGACTTCCCCTCAATATTACTCACTCTATTATACCATCTAACATGGGAGAGAGAATGCAGACACCTTTAATCAATCACAGCTAGCCTTTTCATATCGTCAAATTCCACTGGGCTTGTTTCATAGTCATAAAGAAGGCCGGAGTGAACTCCTGCTGGATATCTGTCTGTCTGTCTGGATTCAACATAGAACTTGGCACCGAAGTACAGCAGTTTGAGTTGCCACGTTCCAAATAGCACATAAAGGTAGACAAGAAAATGAGAGAAGAGAATCAATAGAGTTTTGACAAGTATAGGAGTGAAACAGAATGAGTAATGGTAGAAATGTTAGAAATATGAAAGATTACAGAGACTGAATACATCTGCGTAAGCCATTGACAACGATTTTGAGCCATGTCACCTATTGTCTCCAGCCTTCATTGATTCTTAGAGTCCCGAGGGCGGTCCCCAACGCGGAAGTCCGCATCTCCCTGCCTGACTCAGTTTGGCTGTCAAGGATTTCATGGATTGATGAGGCCATGTTTTTGTTTGGCCACCACTTACTCTTTTCCAACCTGCACCTATATCAGCTAGTAATGCCCGTCCGTCGGGGGAGGCGATGGTTAGGTATGCGCAGCACGTGACTTAGCCATTTCAGTCTATGTAACTTTATAGCCTCTTCGATTGATTTTCGCTCTTTGCCTAACACTCTACGCCTAACGTCAACATTACTTACCTTATTATGCCACCTAACGTGAGAAGGAGATTGTAGACATCTATGGATATCACGTCTACTAACCCAGATATGACGTAAATTGGCAAATATCACATGAGCCTTTTGTATCTCAAACGAGAGAAACAACTTGTCAACTGCATACAGATAAATCACTTCTAGCTAGCTATCAAAAACACTACTGTTTGACGTGGGTGGTTTTTAACTGTTATCATATCGATCGTTAAAGGATATTCGTTTGATTTGTGAAATTTATTTGATTATTTGGTCTCTTAAAGAATGCATGGAATGCTGTTTGAATGAATGCACAGTGCGATCGGTGGTGTGATGTTGGTGTAAGCTAAGATAGAGAGAAAAATTCTAATGCTTTTACTTAAACGTGTTTTATTTAAAAATTTATTTCCTGAGAACTTTCACTTCGTTGGATGTTAGAAGCAGGAGGTTGAGCCTCGGAGTGCTTTCATCTTATTGGTCATTATTAAGTGTTATTAGGCCTCTTTTATCTGCGACCTATTGTGTTTCAATACCAAGCGTGTATTTTCTAGTACTGTTCTTCATTCCCTTATTCAATGCGTTGCACCTTCTGGTTTCGTTGTGCATCTTTGCACTGTTTCGGAGACCAGATGAATCGTTAAAAGCACTTCCAAAAGGCAATTGCAGACTTTTATCAACAGCTGCCTCTGCCGGCTCCATACTTGAGATCAGATGGTAGATAGGAGAGTATTAGAAACAAGGAACTCTGGCAGGCAGCTAACCAACCAAGAACCTTATAGCCTAACATATATGGATTGGAAAGACTCTGAGGTGATTGGTGGGTGACATAACACAGTAAACAGACCCAGTCAACTTAAAGATAGGGAGTGAAATGGCAAAGCATGTTCACCACTCGACTTATTTAGAAAGTTGCATCAACCCTAGCGGGCTGATACCTGATGAAATCTCAGCACGGATAAAGAAGTCTCGTGAAGCATTTACCAATTTACTCCATCCCTCACGTAGATATGATATCTGGCTGGCTATCGATCAAAGGACGTGTGTACTGCTCATCAGCAGTTCGTTCCGTCTTCCTTCATAGCTCTCAGATATAGCCATTGAAAGTGGAAAACATAAAAAGGTTAGCTGTGATGGCGAGCTACCTAGAATGGTGGCCACATTACAACCTGACTGATAGAATTCAGTCTGTACCAAAGAGAGGACTAGACGCATCACACTAGTTACTAGTGTCAAGTCAAAATAAAGGTTAGCTGTCTTTGATCACAGGTGTCTGCGGTCTAACTCCCGTGCTAAGTGGCATTATAGGGTGAGCAATATTGAGGCTAGGCATCGGTCAAGTGCTAGTTAAGGAGGGAATTTCAATCGACGAATTTGTTAAGTTACGTCGATTGAGATGGTTAGGATATGTGTTACTTATGTTTAGCCATGGCCCTCCTCAACGGGAAATGTTAACTCGCATAGGACTGATCAGATTGGAAAAGAGAAAGCTAGTGGTGGTCAAACCAAAACATGGTTTCATCAGTCAATGAAATCCATATCGGTTAGTTTAAGTCACGTAGGTTGGTGTCCTCGGGATGGTAAAACCAATGAAGGCTGGATTCCATTGTTGATACGGCTCAAAATCGTTCTCAACGGCTGGCGCAGATGCATCCCCTCTCTGTGATTTGTCATATCCAATAAAATTCTATTGTTCTTTCATATTACTATTCTTTTTGCCTCATATCTCTCTACTGTTTCTGTCTTGCATTTCTTTTACTTTCTTCTCTTGCTTTGTGTGCTACGTGAAGTGTGGCAACTCGTACAGGTGCACATCCGTGCAAAGTTTTATGTTGAAGCCAGTCAGTCAGTTGACCAGGCCCTCGAGTGGAACTCAAATAGGAAGTGTGAGCAATGAGTTCGATGTTTTTCCGAGAAGGTCATGTGAGGATGAGGTCAACGCTTATGCGCAGTTGTGATGCTGCCTAAAAAGACCTGCAGAGAACGGAGTGAAAGTGGAGATCTGTTGTTGATTGAAGCTCTTATGTTCCACTTGGAACCCAGGGGATAATATTAATATATCATTGTTTGAGAATAGTTCATTATCAATCCAGTTCAAATACACTGACATTTCATTGCTTGTTTTCATCTCATTTTTTAGATTTCTTCCAAAGTCAAATTACGAATACCTCAAGGTGGTGTTATAGATACAGAAGTGAAGTACAAAGCAACTTGTGAATCAACTAAAGAGATGAATGGATCTCATGGATTACCATCTTCATTGTCCTCGTGTGAAAATTATATCACTGTAGAATTACCTGACTGCTTTTTAAAGCATCCTCTTTTAAAGCATTTTCTAGATCTATGGTAAGTTTTATTTTTAATTATTGATTATTAATTTTCAAACTATCCACATACTACTGATTAATTGCGGTGAGTAGTAGTAGTTGTATACAACACCACTCAGCCAGCCAGATCGAGATGTGATGTAAACACCACAGGACGGCCATTTTTTGCTTGTTTGGCACCGAACTCATCAACAGCGGTATACCGCTGGGCACACAGAGTCGAATCACTTCAAACTACATCCGATTTGCTTGCTGTTAGCTACTTGGTCGTACTGGTCATACCACTAGTCAAATTCACAATTCGCAAACTGTGAAATAGTCTGTAGGGATTTGATTTGATTTTTTTTGAAGCTTAATCATGGGTTCACATGTCAGTTCTAAAATTACTGGGAACCATCGGGATGTACTAGACTGTTGTTTCTTCCTAGTAGATTCCGATAGCGCACACCCATGACCCTACTGACTGATCGGTTTCAACAAAGAACTTCGCACCGATGTGCACTAGTTCGAGTCACCACACTTCACTTAGCACACAAAGCAAGAGAAGAAAGTAAAATGAAATGGAAAATAGTGACAGTAAACAAAGATATGAGGCGAAAAGAACCATATCACCAATTGTTTCCAACCTTCATTGATGTTTACCGTCCTGAGGATCCCAACCAGGAAGTGTACACCTTCCTTCGAGACTGGCCTAAACTAACTGTTGTAGATTTCATTGACTGATGAAGCCATGTTTTGGTTTGACCACCACTGGCTCTTTTCCAACCTGACCTTATGTCAGCTAACATCGCCTGTCGGTCAAGGAAGGCGATGGCTAGGCATGCGTGACACATGTCCTAACCATCTCGATTGATGTAACTTCACAGCCTCGTCTATTGATTTCCCCTCTTTACCTAGCACTGGACCGATGCCTAACCCCAATATTGCTCACCTTATTATACCACTTCACAAGGGAGATAGATCGCAGGCACTTATCATCGAATGCAGATAGTCTTTTCCTGTCTTCCATTGTCACCGGCCATGTCTCACACACAAAGGAGGACGCAGCTAACTGCTGCTGAGTAGTGGACACGTCCTACGGTCGACAGGCAGCCGGATATCATGTTTACTAAGCCAGGGATGGCGTAAGTTGGTAAATACCAAACCAGCCTTCTGTATCCGTGTTGAGGTTTCTTCAGTGATCAACCCTTTAGAGCGACCCCCCAAATAAGTGAAATGGTCAACATGCTCTATCACTTCACTCCCTATTTCTATGGTTGGAGTCAATGTAGTCCAGTCCTATAGCATAATCTTATATTTGGCGGGAGTGAATCGCACGCCAAACATTCGAAGATTGCAACTCAAGTTGTTCAGAAGACTGCTCTATTTCGTCAGCGTCCTTCCCTAGAAGGACTATATCATGTGCATATTCTAAGTCAATCCCTGAGTTGCTGAAGTCACTTAGGGTTAAGTCCATTAGTAAATCTACGATGAAATTAAATAGAAACGGGGATAGTGGGCATCCCTGACGGACACCACTAGTTGTCACCACTTCAGGTGACAACTCGCCGTAAGCCCTCACCTGGCTGCATGAGTTCGAGTGGAGTGTCTTGATCAGTGCAATGTATTTTCCCGGCATTCCTTTCACAATCAAACATTGCCAGAGTAACTCTTGGTCGACAGAATCAATCCTACTTGCGATAGAATTCAGGAACTTTAGATTCAAAGTCCAGCTGGTAGACTATTCAGCTATCGGTACCCCGAATTTAATGGTTTGCGCATAAATTCCAACTTTTACCAATTGGTCATTTTAGCCTCCGTGCCTGCGTTCTATCTCCCGTGTAAAGTGGTATAATAAGGTCAACAATACTGAGGTTAGGCGTCGAGTGCTGGGTAAGGAGGGGAAATCAATCGACATGGTCGTGAAACTACATCGACTGAGATGGTTAGGACATGTGTTACGTATGCCTAGTCATCGCCTTCCTCGACGGGAAATGTTAGCTGACATAGGGTCAGGCTAGAAAAGAGTTAGCGGCAGTCAAACGAAAACATGGCTCCAGTCAATGAAATCTACAACAGTTAGTCTAGGCCACGTAGGAAGGTGTAGACTTTCTGACTGACTGGTTGGGGTCGTCGGGACGGTAAAAACCAATGGTTGGAAACAGTTGGTGATATGGCTCAAAATCGTTCTCTGTGGATGGCGCAGATGCATCCACTCCTTGTGACTTATGATTTCCAATGAAACTATATTGTTCCTCCCATATTACTATTCCTTTGTCTCACACCTCTATTTACTGTCTATATTATGCGTTTCTTCTCTTGCTTTGTGTGCTACATGGAGGGAGTGTGGCGATTTGAACTGGTGCACATCAGTGCAAAGTTCTATGTCGAATACAGACAGACAGAGGTCATTTTAGCATGACTGGCACTAGCCAGTGTCATCAGCCCGAGTATTTGTCCTCACTCCTCACCGTGTGGCGACCCCACTCGTCGTGCCTTCCCGCTAGAACTCCTGGCAACTAACTTTGTCCTGTAGCCAGTAGTCACTAGCGTGCATCAGATTAATATTCAAGAGTTAGTGTGTGTGGGGATTTGATTCGTTTCAATTTTTGACCAAACACGGATTGATATCAGTGAGAGAACTTTTGAACAAACCAGTATAGGGAGTACTACACATTCTAGTATGGGACTCTTCGTAAGTATTATTATTATTGTTCCCTTGGGTTCCAAGTGGGACATAGGGCTTCAACTACACGTCTCCACTTTCTTCTGTCTTCTGCTGTACTTTTCACCTGCATCCATGTTAATCCATACTGTTTCAACTCCTCTTCACGCGATCTCCTCCATGTCACCCTTAGACGTCCCACTCGCCGCTTCCCTTTCGGGTTCCACTCGAGCAATGGGCTGACGCGCGATATCACCCAGCGGCCTCCTCAGCGAGGGTCCAATCCATCTCCACTTTCTCCTGCATATTTCTTGGGTGACTGGTTCTTGTTTTGTTTGTTCCCATAGGTTCTTGTTGGTTTTTGTTCTTTCCGGCCATCTGATCTTCAGTATAGAGCCAGCGAAGACAGTTGTTGATAAAGGTCTGCAACAGGCTGTTGGAAATATTCTTTGTGACCCGCCAAGTTTCTGATCCATCCGTATAGAAGAACTGACTGACTTGACGTTTGTATTGAAAATCCGAATTTTGTTGTTGAGTGTTGCTGAGTGACGAAGATTTCCAGATTGGTTTCAGGTTGATGAATGTGTTTCTCGCCTTCCCGGTTCTCGATTTTAGTATATATATATGTATGCGTTGAAGTTTCTGTAGCAGTTTGGTTAAGTTTTGGGGGTGGAGTTGCTAGCACCATGCCCCAAGCCTCTCTCTTTATCCGGGCTTGGGACCGGCTAGAAACCTAGTGAGCTAGTAATCTAGGCGAGGTTTTCGTGAGTATTGATAATCTGTAATATATCTATGGTGTGACAAATTTGATCCCCAAGCTTCGATTGTATTAGAGTGTTGAGATGATATATTTTGAGTTGTTGTTGTTGTTGTGGTATGATTTGACTTGGTATGTTGTTGTTGTCGTCGTCAACTGTGTGTGATTGAATATTACAATCGGATCATTCATATTTTCTTTGGATAGTCAGGCTAGTATATATATATATATATTTTTTTTTTTATTGTTTTGATACGTGACAATGCAATCAACTTTATTGTAGGCATGTATCTTTTTAATCTTTGATTGATTTTTTTAATCACATACAGCAGTGTGATTTTATCATATGTGAAGAATGTCTCCATTATGGGTAAATTTTATTTTGATAGAGTCTCACAGTGTTATACAGTAATATTTACTGATGACGTTTCGAGCACAATTTATTACTGCTCATAATCATATCAAGGTAATCACACGACTTCCTAAATTCATTTATATACTTCCATTGTTTTTCATTTGATTTGATTGGTAGTAATATTTTCCATATTTCGGGTATGAGTGATGATTCATTCCTATTGCATGTGTTGGGTGTAGATTCGATGAACTAGGATTCAGTAATCAACCACCTCTCTCTCCACCTACCTAGAATTTTAACCCTCTCCCACCCTATTGTGTGGTTGTGTGTTAATGCATGCATTGCAATTGCTGAGCTTTTTTCTAAATTACTTATCTTCTCTGGGTCAACCATTCTTACCTTAGCTAAATTCTTATGTTCCGACAATCTGATTAGCCCCAACCGACCTACTAGTTTGACCTATGTAGTTGACCTCACAGTCATTGCAGGGTATTTTGTAAATTATATTATTTTGTTTAATTGGGTCCACTGGGTCCTTTAACCTACATAGCTTGTCTCTGAGTGAGTTTGTAGGCTTAAATGCCACCCTAATTCCTGCTTTATTGAGAATCCTACGTAGGGAGGGTCTCAGATGTCCCCTCCTTAGATGGTATTACAGTAGATGACTTATATTCTCTCTTATTTATGTTATTATTACCAGTTTCACAATTCTTTTTATTTTTCTTTTGGCGTTTTTCAACCTTCCTAATGAATTTTAGAGGATAGTTATTTAGAACCAACGCCTCTTCTATCTGTTTTATTTGATCATTTAAGTTTTTGTTGTACTACTTACTGTTGTTATTACTCGGTTTGTTAAACACTTAACAAAGCCTGCCTTAACAGTTAGTGGATGAAATGAATTAAAGTCTAAGTATCTATTAGCAGAATGTGTTGGCTTTTTATAAACACTAGTGTGTAGTTTGCCTTCTTCTATTCGTTTTATTTTACAATCTAACATAGCTAATTCTCCTTGCTCATATTACTGTATAACACTGTGAGACTTTATCAAAATAAAATTTACCCATAATGGAATTACACTCTACCACAGTGCCCAAGTTTTATTCTTATATCAGTGAAGAATGTCTGTCTGTTTTCGACATAGAACTTTGCATCAGTGTGCAGCAGTTCAAGTCGCCACACTCCCTCCATGTAGCACACAAAGCAAGAGAAGAAAGTAGAAGAAATACATAATAGAGAGAGACAGTAAACAGAGATGTGAGACAA